CTGTCACTTGTTCTTTCTTCTTGGGATTCTTGGCTGTTACCATCCAAGCCATAACGATCAATCACTAACTTCGCTCCCATCATTTTATCTATTGCTTCAGAAACAATAGACTTAAACGAGGATTGGATGACGCGAACGCTGACTACGTTTTCCGTTCCACATTCTTCCACATCCATTGATTCAGAATCGCTCAAAAACCCCTCTGCCACAGTCAGAAAACACTGCTGGTAGGAAGCTGTTACTAAGTCCTGCATGAACTTGCTGTTGTAATCCTTTAATACTTTGAATAGCTCCTTCAGCGCAAGAGATTCTTTGCCTTGTCGACAGGGAACCTTATTTTGAAAAAAAGAAATAGAAAGTTTGCTTGAGTGAAGCAAAATAGAAACAAAAACAAAGTTAAGGCTATACAACGCTTTATTTTGCTATAACAAAATACTTTGACATGATGAGGAGCCAAGTATGAGAAAACAATTTCATTCAGAACCTTGTGAATAATTTACCTTGATATATACTGCAAAGACTAACCGTAAAAAGACAGTATGTTAACTATTCTGCAGACTGTTAGTAATAGTTAAGACTAGGGCGGGGCTACACATATTTTGCATCCAGCAGGGATACAATTATACTGAAATAAAATCCTATAAATGAACAACCCTAGAAGTATTCCCTGTAAAACTCCTATAATCACCAACTTGTGAGGAAAACAGAAACCCTTGAAAACACTTATCGAATGTTGTTTTATCTTAAATGTTTGTACAACAAAACTCTAGGACAAATGCTATAAAAACACTGATTTTGAAATAACGTAAAGTTGTTGTTCTCGTTTTTAAAAGATCCGCACGTTTGTAAAAATGATTAATTTATGATACACGAAGGGAAAACGTACTGTGTTTGCGATTGCATGAACGCCACATTCAAGCAAGGCGCGGTGAATACAAATGGGATTTGCTGGCGCTCCATTTGGTGTATTCAGCGCAATCCAATAATTTATGGTGGGCAGAAGCTTTTTGTTAACCAAAGCTGGGTGGCTGGAAATCCAGCTTTGGCTCGAATAACTTGAAAGTTGAGTGGTGAAATGCTCGCTATCGCTTTCCTCTCCGTTATCCTCTAGGGTTTTTTGATTTTTCTTCGGCGTTGTTTTTGGCCCTTGTGTTCCGATAGAACTGAAGAAAAAGGCCACACTTTGTACTCCTGCAAAAAATGATATCGAAATCAGGTTTCCTTATTCAACCGATCGATTCGTAATAAGGATTCATAATTGACATTTCAATTCATTTTGAATACAAACCTTGCAACGCCTTGTCGCAAGCGTCTCGCGTCCTACACACCTCATTCCATGCTTTCTGCAGGCCTTCATCCATATTGCATTTACACTTACAAGTCACTACACTACATTTGTCGACAACTATTGGACTTAAATAACACAAAGCAGCTCCTTTGATTTTCTCGCTATTCAGTTGCCGACAAGGAAAATTTGCTCTTCGCTCGCTCATGGTGAAGCGAAGACTGATGTATCATCGACAACGTAATACGCTTTTATAGGAGTAAGCATGTCACTTCACTGTGAATAATATTAATTATACAATGAAATTTTCCCAGTAGACAAATTCTGACACCCTTATCCATCGCCCAGCCTTAGTCACACAGAGTTATTATGTAATCCAAAAATGTGATACTTGACAACTATTACTGAAGACTATTTGACCTAAATTAGCGACATGATCCTGTTTCCGTGAAATCCGCAAAATCCTCTGACAGAAAAGCCGTCTTTGTGATGAATTCCAGCTACTGAAATCCACATGAACTGCCAGTTTTACCCTATTCAAAGATTGTGTCGAGGAAGGAAACAACGGTTTCTGCGGAATTAACGGAGAACTGAATACCAAATGAGACGTCGCTAAAGACTTTCCTGAGAAGAGGTGGATTCTACGGATTTTACGGAAAAAAGAAATGAAAATAAAAACAATGATAACAATAATAATAATAATTATTATTATTATTATTTTCATTTTATTATTTTAATATAATAATAATAATAATTATTATTATTATTATTATTGTTTTTATTATGATTGTTATTATATATCTTATCCGTCTTTTCCGTGAAATCCGTTGTATCCAGCCTAAAAGTAGAGTTTCATCTTTGATACCTTCATTAAAATTCTTATTTCCGTTAAGTCCAAGAAATCAGTATTATCCACTCTTATGGAATACAACTCTGGTGTCCGTGAATGTCAATTATATCTTTATTCCGGTGGAAGGATTTCCGGATTGGCGGATTTAGTTGATTTTTTTCTCTATTTTACCTAGTGTGTTTTAGCAACAGGAGAGTGATGTATGTGTTTGTTTTGATTTAGCCCTCAAATTCTCAATGAACGATATAAGCAGTATCATGAAGTAAGATCACCCTGGGTAAACCTTTGTTTGCTGATATAAGTTAAAGGCTAACATCTCTTCATACAGTATAGGAACAAGCGTTCCTTTCAGTGGCCGTTCCTCT